GGATGGAAGGCTGAGTCAACCCTGAGCCGGTGAGATTTGAACAGCCGAACTGCAGAATTGCAGTCAGCTGAAATAGCCTGCAGTGCTGCATTTAATCACTGGGCCACCTCGGCAGAAGGTGGGGAAAATGATATTCTGATTTTAAAATTATAATAATCCTTTAGATTTGTGTACATGTGTAATGTAGAAAACAGATCATGAATGGGTTAAATACAAGAGCTGCATTGTATATACATGTCCGTTTGAATAACGTATCTGGACATCTTTTTTATTTAAAATAATATGTTTACAGGATACTTTCCTCACATTATTGCCATTATTTTCTTTGGTTCTCTCTTGAGTTGAAGTGGTGCTAAATACCTTTGTTTTACAATCTGAACATAGTTTAAACTTAAATGCGTATGCAGTTATGTGAATGCTATTTAGCACAACTTATTTATTATTAGTTAAACTATAACGTTATTTGTTTTGAATGGCATCATCTGAATTTAAACTTGCTGTATGCAGGTTGCAGGAATAACCACAGAGCAACACTTTCACAATGATAAGGGACCCCTCGCCCAAAAAAGAAAATGTGATATTGGAAAAATACAGATTGAGATGATACTCAGTAATATATTTTTAGAAAACTTGCAAAATGCCACTTTTAAAAACTGGATTTACAGCATGAAATTTCCATTTAAAAAATAAATTAGTTTTGCTGATCATAAACATGCATGGTTGGGTTGTGCTACTACTGAAGAAAGGAATATAATTTTTACAGTATTCCAATTACATATCAGAACACTTAAGATAGAAGGCCTTCAAAAACCATTAGCTCATCACATATGGGAGAATGGGAATTGATGGACTACAGTGAAATGGCAATTTTCCAGAAATGAGGAACAGATTCTAAGAAGTGGCAGCACAGCCTGGAGCTGGACAGGAGGCTAAGGAAGAGAGTAAAGATAGTCACTCTCTTGTATGTCCTAGGATATATCCATTAGGGTGAGAGTAGTAAGGGTTTAATCTGGCACAATCCTGTCTATGTATGTAAGCAAATAAAGGACTGAATTCTGGCTGGATTGTTTTGATTCTTGGGCTAAACCCAACAACACATCAAGGCCAACTCTAGGGATGCCTTGTCTTGGAGATCATGGAAATTGAAAAGGCTTCCAAAGCACAGAATAAAAAAGTAAAAAGCAGAAATGGCACATCCTGTGTCCAACTCAAAGGTTATATATAATTAAGAAAAAAAGAGGATGTTTTGAAAATTCCTTAAAAAATTGGAAGATGATTGAAACTAGAGTGGGTGCCAGAATATGACTTTGTCTAGGGCCCCAACATTTCTAGAGCTGGCCCTGACCAGATAGAAAACTCTACTTATGGCTTTTCTCTATATGGTATTTATTTTATTTTCTAGCTCATAAGCAGCTAATAAGTAAAGAAAGCA